CATTTGTGCCACACTCCCTTGGACACGCTCCAGTTTCCCATCATCCTTCTTGAATTGTGGGGCCCAGAACTGGACACAGGAGTCCTCCAGTGAGGCCTGACCAAAGCAGGGAGCTTATTGCATGCCCTAAAAAGGCGTTTTACCTCTTCTGGCTTCAATCCTTGATCGAGATGTTATCAGATATAATTCGCCGCCGATTCTGCCACGATGCCGCCAGCCAAATGCAGCCCTGTTCAAAGCCACGCTCAACCGGCACTTTTTCGGAAATGAAGTTTTCAGACTTGAGAAACTGGTCGGCTGAGCAGTCCTTGGATCCGGGCTGCCTTCGGCCGGCAGCATCATGGCAAAGTCGGTGGCGAATTATGTCTGATAACATCCAGCTGTATCCCAATCAAGGATTGAAGCCAGAAGACGTAGAACGCCTCTTTAGGGCATGCGATAAGGTCCCAGAATAGACTGAACAGAGAAATATTGGGAATGGAGCACGCTTGATCTCTGCTACTCCAGAGACTGGGATACAGAGCAAGGGAGTCAAGCTGCAGGCAAAGAGATTCCAAATTTCCACCTAAACTTTAGGAGGAACTTCTTGAGAGCAAGAGCTCTTTGACAGTGGAAGACGTTCCCTCAGAGAGTGATGGAGTCTCCTTCTTTGGAGGTTTTTAAACTGAGGCCGGGTGGCCATCTGTCCCAGGGAGGGCTTGGATGGTGTCTTCCTGCATGGCAGAAGAGGGTTGGACTGGATGACCCTTGGGGTCTCTCCCAACTCTATCATAAGTGGCATGTTTTAAAAATAAAAACCATGCTGGGGCCATTTTGCACACATCTTGAGTAAGCATCATAGAATCATAGAAGAGTTGGAAGGGACCACAAGGGCCATCCAGTCCAACCTCCTTCTGCCATGCAGGAACTCTCAATCAAAGAAGTGGTCAGCCAAGTACCTTTCCATGGTTATCAACTGCAGCTCCAATGATGCCTTGACTTTTTCGGGGGGGAAACTTCCTATACGAAACCATCCCTGACCATTGCAACCTTTCCTCCTTGGAGGGCAGTTGCTGCAGCCCATCTTTGCCAAAAAGCTGAAAGAAAGGAAGGAAGGAAGGAAGGAAGGAAGGAAGGAAGGAAGGAAGGAAGGAAGGAAGGAAGGAAGGAAGGAAGGAAGGAAGGAAGGAAGGAAGGAAGGAAGGAAGGAAGGAAGGAAGGAAGGAAGGAAGGAAGGAAGGCCAGGGCTGGGCTGCCTTTGTGCCCTAGAGCCTGGGGTCCCTCTATGGGACCCTGACCTCCTATTTCTTGGCAATAGAGGCAAAAAGGTCTGCAGGGTATTTCCTCCAAGCTCCCCTCCTTTCAGACCAAACCTTGCCATGTGCCATTTGAGAAAAAAGACATGCTGTGCACGCATTTTGAGTAAGAAGTGGGCAGCTAAGGGCCTTTCCATGTTCATCGACTGCAGCTCCCAAGATGCCTTGACCTTTCTTATGTAGGCTAGGGCTGTGTGGGAGTTGCAGTCCAACCATCCAAAAGACCTCTGCCCTTCCGAATGAACGTTGTCTGACTACAACCCCAAAGGAAGCGATGGAAGAAGCCTCGGCTGCCATTTATTGGAAAGCCAGACTAACCAAGGGATGGGTCAATCGGTACCTGTTTCCGGAGGGTCTCTCTCATCTCTGGCCCCAGCTTCCCACATTTGTAGAGAAGGTGCCCAGCGAGGGTCGTTTTCCCAGAATAATCTGGACCCAAAACCAGGATCCGGATGGGTGAGCCAGTGTTCATGGTCTTCCCCCACGGATGGGATCGATCGATCGATTGATGCCGAGACTGAAAGATAGGGAGCTATTGAGGGAATGCAAAGAGAAGGGCTATATATCCACACGGCAGAAATAATCCACTTTGGCACCACTTTAACTGCCAGGGCTCAATGCTATGGAATAGTGGGAATTGCAATTCCCAGAATTCCATAGCATTGAGCCAGCGTGGATGCAGCCTTGGAGGTGCTTTTGAGTCCAAGAGGTTTCTTGGGGAAGAAGAAGCAAAAACCTTCCCATCCAAAGATGCTTTCTTATAATAATAACCCATGCACACAGTGCAAAAACACAGTCAAATTGGAACAGCCGAAAGCACTCTATTTGAATTTAATACTCCAAAGCATGGTTTGAAGCCTATCAAGTCCAGAGCTTGGAATTATCCCTTTCTCTGGACAACAACTCCCAAAATCCCCTTGCTTTTCAAAGTACAGTTTTCAAACAAGACTGCTGGGTCTAAGAAGCAGTGCTGAGCCAGATAAATGCCACAGAGAACGCAGAAGGAAATTGAAAATCCTCAGAGAGAAGCCGGTGGTGATCCATGGATAGTTTTGGACAATTTTGCCAGATTTATCCTAGTGACCACTTGCCTAGAATGATGACAGGACCTATTATTGCAAAGTACAATAACATCCAAAATCCACCAAACAGAGAGATGCCTTTATAAGGCCAACCAAAATGCACAAAATACATCTCTCTAGTAGTCAGTAACCACCAGCTTGCTCCACAGATGCCCCTCTGCTTTTCGTCTCCGCCTGCCCTTTCCTTCCTTCCTTCCTTCCTTCCTTCCTTTTGGCCTTT